TAACATTTGTACTCTTCATTAGTTTATACTCTCGAGTGGTAGCTTCCATGAGATCCTGGTTTCTAGCCCTCTTAGTTTTTTAGGTAGCTACTGCTTAGATAACATTGAAGTCAAAGTTGTCAATGGAGTTGGAGTTTAAAAAGAAGCATGTTTGTAAGGAAAATGTCATTTTAAAGATCCTGTATTTCAGGAACTGGAAGTTGAACTGACTGATTACTCCTAATTCTAGAACTTCACAGATCATTAGGTTTTACATATGACTATTCTCCCTAGTCATTTGGTATGGCTTTCCAATGGACACATTGGCTACATCATTGTGATCTAAGAGGCTGCCTGCAAACCTAAATTTTATTTTCTTTTAGGTATCTTCCAGCCTCATGTACGACACTTACTTGTTCTGGCTACTCCCGTGGATATTGTGATTCTAGGACTCTATTTTTCTAATACACAAGCAGGTAATTCTCTCCCCTCATTGCCAGTTGTGTATTAACAAGTATGTGTGTCTGTTCTATTAGTAGTCAACCAAAAATTAAAAAAAGAAAAACCATGTGCTGTGTGCCTTCCTAGTTTTTAAATCACATTACAAATAGGAGGAATTTTTATCGTATGTGCACTTGCTGGATCATGGACTTCATGAGAAGCATTGACTTTTATTACTCACCTGTTTAACATAAAAAGGGTTTTTGAAACAGATCCTCCTGTTAATTAAACAGTGTCCTAGAGCGGGAGGGAAGAGATGAGCACAAATTTTGGCATTGAATAGAGGTCGTTAACTGTGTTAACAGTTGTCTTCCAACCATAAAAATGAACAACCTGACACCACTTTTGTAATGCCATATATATTAATACAGAATAAAACTTGCTTGAACAAAGTGGAAGTATTATTTTGCCTTTTTTAATATCGTCTTGGTGTGAAAGAGGCAAAAAAGAAGAAACCTGTATTTTGAACTTGTGATTTAGAGGACATGATAATGCGTGGAAATGAAAAACATTGCATTTCCTTACTTGGAAAATTATGCAGAGGGCTTAATTTTTTCCAAACCAGAAGATTTGTTGCTCTGCAGTTCACTCTGGACAACAGCTGTTCTAGGATGTTCAGTAACTGTGAAATTTGCTGTGATTTTCCCTGGTTTCTGAAACATTTCTTATCACAGACCTGTAATATTTATTAGAGCAACTTAGTAGCTGAAGAGGATTTATTGATTTGTTTGTTTAAGGTAGTGGTTCGCTCAATGACAGCATTGTTTGTTTGTTTAAGGTAGTGGATCACTCAATGACAGCATGTCTGGAGAAATGCAGCTGCTACCAGATCCTCTGTATTCTCTCCCCACTGACAATACTTACATCCTCGCAATAACATCCACGGATAATGGGCGTATCTTTCTGGCTGGAAAAGATGGTTGCTTGTATGAAGTAGCATACCAGGTGACCGTGGGTTTTACACACATTTTTTGTGGTTTTGTGACTGTGGGATCTGGCCACTAATTAAAACATGCCAAGTTAGCTGCCTGTTTTTTGTCTGTAATTATGATGCATGGCTTAGTTGCATAACAGCTCTGATGTCTCAGTGTAGATTCACTTTCTTTGAAGAAGCAGTAATTACGTGAGGAATAGCGATGCAGTCTTAGTCAACCTAAAAAATAAAATTCAAACTGTTACATCCTGCACACTTTTTATGCAAAATTTTCCTTTTAATGTTCACCTTTTTCTTTCAATTGAATAATACATAATTGTTCAATGAAATCAATGATTTGTCATTAGATTTTTACTGGTTTTCATACTTGCTCAGTAATTTTTTAATATTGTTACTACTTTGTGTTTTGTTTTTGCTTTTCCTTTCAATGGTGTATTTGTTTGAAATTGTAGGCTGAAGCAGGCTGGTTTAGCCAGCGCTGTAGAAAAATTAATCATTCAAAGAGCACTCTGTCCTTCCTCATTCCTTCATTGCTACAGTTCACATTCTCAGAGGATGGTAAGTACTGATGTTAAAGGCTTAGCCAATCATTTAATGTAACCTTTTAGAATTATTCTACCAATAAGTAGACTGAACAGTTTACTTGCTCAGAGCATTTAGTTACTGTCAATGAAGCTTGCAGTGCTTGATTAATACAAAAGAATTTCACAGATCTAGACAGATTGTTTGGGTGTCTCATTCAGGATATAGACAGTAGTCTGGAAAATTTGATACTTCTGACTGAAGTTAGTGATCTGTAGCACAAAATTTGAAGTGCTTAGTGGGATCAGTGTGAACACTGAAAATATATAAGTGAATAATCTTACCCTGTTTCACTGCTCAGTGAAAAATTATTTTGAAATTATACAGTTTAATCTCTTTTTTCAGTATTTGCTAACAGTTGTGTGGTTGATGACTGTTTTTAATCACTTCCAGTACGAGTCCTGTGTGAAACTGAAGTTTTTGTTAACTTCTAAGTCACCGTTTTATAGGTGTATATTGTCCCAAACTTGTTTTCACCGAATCCAGTGTTCATTTGCTGGTTCTCCCTTTTTTCCCTCTCCCCAGATCCTATAGTTCAAATCGCCATTGACAACTCTCGGAATACCTTGTACACCCGCTCAGAAAAAGGAGTCCTGCAAGTATGTGCCACCTTCTACTGGCTCTCGGCTATGTTACTAATGTGTGCAGTACTGTGTAGATAGCTTGTAAAGTCTTCCTCAGTAAGTGTAAATTCTCTGCAGATGTGTCAGGACATTATTCCTGTATATTATTCCTGTCTATCTCTTTGTAACAAAGTATGTGCTGGAGACATAAAGTACATTTTTTTCTGAGGAAAGAGTAGCCTCAATTGTATAGAAACATGGGAATGAAACGAAAATACGGTTTGAGTTGCTGCTTGAGAAGTGAGTCTGTATTTATGAATTCAATTGTAAATCACTAAGCTGTATTACTGAATTGCAAGTTTATGATTTGGGACAAGATGGTCAAGGAATGACCAGGGTTACTTCTCTTTCACAAAACGCTATAGTTTCTGCTGCAGGGAGCATTGCCAGGTATGTTTATGACAGTTATAACCAAAGAGGCTTGCTTTGTGGCCAATAGTTTCACACTATGGTTTTGCAACATGTTGTTTGCCTGTTTCTTTGGATTAAAAGT